CTTCAGATGTGAGGCAATAAATTTATCTTCTTTCCTTTTCAGTGTGTGTGTGTATATAAAATACTTTGTCTTACCCATGATAAAGCAGAAGATAATAAAACAAATAACCTACCTTAGAGTTAGGCTGAAATAGTTAGAGAGGCTAATTCATAAAGTGCTTAGTACAGTATCTGACATAGCAAACACTCAAGAGTTAACTATTATCATCTATACTTTATAATTACTAATTAATCCAGTACATTATTCTAGAACTGTCTAGTTCTTATTCACAAAACAAAAATGATTTACAATTTTTCTTCCCACAGTCAATAAAATTTCCATGCCAGTTGCAAACTAATTAACATAATAATCTACATTATATGAGACATACAGATTAAAAACAGTAGAATCAGGCCTTCCTATTCCCTTAATCTCAGAAGGACGATCCCACAATGATAAAAGGGACAAGAAACAAAACACATGCATGTTTACTGAAGTCCAAAGACATGGGTAACCCCATCTACAACAACAGAAAGCAGACTGAGAAATGATACAAAAGTTAGAGCAGAGGAAGATGAAACCTAGGAACCTACAGAGGGATATACTATTGAGAAGCAAGGCCACAAAGCACACAGAGTCCTAGAAAGACTCAGGAACTTTTAAAAAGTTGAGGTATAACGGAGGCTGCAGCGAGGCAGTGAACTGAAAACAAGGGCATGATTTGAAAAAGAGAAGATTAAGAAAAACAGCCTAGGGAGTCCCACATTTGATATACAGGATATGAGATAGAAAGGAACTTGTCAATGAATTAACACAGGAAAATTCCCAAGAATGTAGTCTCTAGACTGAAAGCGCCCTCCTTTCAAAAGTGCCATCACAATGGATAAAAAATTTTTAAATACCAGGATACATCAATATAAATTTTAGAACTAGAAATAAATGTCCCAAAAGCTTTCAAAAAGAGGAAAAAAATATGGTTACAAAGAAACTGCTGTAGCACTGAAAGCTATAATGTAAGAAAACAATAATCTCAATTTTAAATTTCCAGTACAGACATCTATCCCAAACTATCAAATTTCCAGTACAGACATCTATCCCAAACTATCAGTCAAGTTCAAATTTACAATAATAGCATTTTCAGTCATGCAAGGTCTCAAAAAATGTGTCTCCCATATGCCCTTGTTCAAAATGCTACTAAAGTATGGGCTTTTTGCAAAAAGGAGTAAACCAGAAAGGGGAAAACATGACACGAGAGAATAGAGGGCATCATAAGAAAAAAAGATGAGAAGTTCCCAGTAAAGTCATTTCAGCACTCTAGTTATTCAGCAATAACACAGGATAAATACTAACTGGAGCAAGAGGACCAAAAAAATGTAGCATGGAGACCTTCAGAGGAAAAAAATGGAACTGATAAATTATCTGAGAAGTTTAACAAGTAGAAAACCAGACAAAAAATAATTTTAAAAAGCTGTAGGAGGGAAGAAGAAAACAGCCAGAAATTTGAAGAAAGCCAAGCAGGTAAAAAAGTGAAATAAATCTCAAAAAAACAACGTACAAGAAAGGAAATGTGACCATAGTATGCTACTTAGCTCAGCAATGAATAGTGTTTACATATTGAAATATAACTATACTAGGATGGTTGCAAAGAGTGGTATAAGAACATAAATCTTCACCCACAACAGAATATCAACAGATAATATTTTAAACTGATAAACAAAAATATATAGTAATATACAAATATTACTTAGAAATATAGCAATATAAACCACAATAAATGTTGAAGAAAGTTGAAAGTGGTTTACTGGGAAATAAAACAGGAAAACTGCTGGTTTCATTTCAAGTATTTCAGTTAGCAATAGCTGACTTTTCTCACCTTGTGCATGTAATACTCAAATTAAAATAGGTTTTTAAAAAGAAAAACCAACTGCTAAAACAATCATGATTTGTAGAGTATCTTATTTTTATATTACAGGTTACCTCCACATTAACTGATGGGAAACACTGGCTGTCCACAAGTTTATCAACTTTGTCACATCAGAAGGTATTTCTCTTTTGTTTTATTTTCATTTTTTATTTTAAAGATGTGGGGTATAGAAGATATCTCTTATAAGTAATAATGTCAAGCAGGCCTTCACTCTTCATCACTATAGTTTTTTGGAACTTTTTGGTAACCAACTCACACTGAGTTAGGAAGTGTCTACTTAATTAAAAATACTTTAACAGCAAATATAAAGTGTTTGCCTTACAGTACATGAAAAATTACAGGTTAGGTTTAATCAGAATGACAACTAGTAAACTGGCAAAAAATAAACTTTAGTTTGTTCCATTACTGCCAACTGGATAGAGATTATTTACACAGTGCTGCCTAAATAACAGATATTAAGTGCTAGTCTGCTACAGGGATGACCCTAAAAATGCAGACAGATATCTTTTGTGTACTTGTCAGCATCAATTTTTGTACTAGCCTCAAATCTAAGGTATACAGTTGGCATAAGCCAGTAACTTTACCAGATAAAAGACAAAGCAACTGTGGAAAGATAAACGGTACCTAGATAAAGCTCTATTTTCCTAACTTTACTGTTCTACAAATTAGGCATAAAACAAGTACTACTGTGATATTAGGAAGGCTGCTATTTATTATTTAGATAAAGAAATGTAAAGATAGACAAGCATGAAGCAAGTGTGACAAACTGTTAACACTCATTCCAAAGGATGGGTTTATGAGGTTTATTATCCTTTATTTCTGAATACATTTACACATTTCCAAATTTAAGTTTACAATGAACAGAAACATTTTATTGATCATTTGGGAATTCATTAGCTAACATGCACAAAAATCTTAAGGAAGTTGCAACTTTAGAAAAATAAAATAGGCCAGGCTCGGTGGCTCAGCCTGTAATCTCAACACTTTGGGAGGCCAAGGTGAGTGGACTGCCTGAACCCGCAGGTTCAAGACCAGCCTGGGCAACTTAGCGAGACCTCCTCTCTACAATAAATAATAAAAAAAATTAGCCGGGCGTGGTAGAGCACGCCTATAGTTCTGGCTGCTTGGAATGCTGAGGCGAAAGGATCACGAGAGCCCAGCAGATCTATGCTGGGGTGACAGTGAGCATGCCACAGCACTCCAGCCTGTGCGACGGAGAGACTCCAACTCAAAAAGAAAAAGAATACACTAAAAACAGGCCAAAACTTTTTTTTTTTTTTTGAGTTGGAGTCTTACTCTGTCACCCAGACTGGAGTGCAGTGGCCACTCCCGGTCACCGCAGCCTTGACGGTCTGGGCTCTGGCGATCCTTCTGCCTCAGCCTTCCAAGTAAAAGTAAGTAGCTGGGACTACAGGCGCACGCTACCATGCCCAGCTACTCTTTTGATTTATTGTAGAGATGAGGTCTCGTCAAGTTGCCCAGGTGGGTTTTGAACCTGCTGGCTCTGGCAATCCACTCACCTCAGCCTCCCAAAGCACGGGATTACAGGCTGAGCCACCAGTCCCAGCTAGGCCAAAATTTTAAACAGTGGTTATATTGAGAAAATGAGAAGCTGAGAGATCTCCCCATTCCTGCATACTACTTTTCAGTACTACCTTTGCCTCATCCCAAAAAGTGTTGCTTTTATAGGTGGGGGGGAATGTACATATAAAGACTATATATCATTGGAAAAACGGCAATTTCAGTCTTAAAATATTAAACGGTGGTTATATTGAGAAAATGAGAACTTGAGAGATTTCCCCATTCCTGTATACCATTTTTCAGTACTTTCTCTGCCTTACGCCAAAAAAAATTGATTTTATAGATGGAGGGGGAAATATACATATAAAGACTAGATTTCATTACAAAAAAAAAGAAAGGTAGTTTCAGTCTTAAAATGTTAAACAGTGGTAATATTAAGAGAATGAGAACCTGAGAGTTTTCCTCATCCTTGTATACCACTTTTTAGTACTTCCTCCCCTTCACCACAAAAAGTGTTGATTTTATAGGTGGCAGGGGAAATATATGTACACATGCATCGTTAAAAATAAAGGAAGAAGCTGGGCTCGGTGGCTCAGCCTGTAATCCCACGCTTTGGGAGGCTGAGGTGAGTGGATTGCCTGAGCCCGCGGGTTCAAGACCCGCCTGGGCCACTTGGTGAGACCTCATCTCTACAATAAATCAAAAAATTTAAGCTGAGCTTGGTGGCTCAGCCTGTAATCCTGCGCCTTTGGGAGGCTGAGGTGAGTGGATTGCCTGAGCCTGCGGGTTCAAGACCCGCCTGGGTAACTTGATGAGACCTCATCTCTACAATAAATCAAAAGTTAGCCAGGCGTGGTAGTGCACGCCTGTAGTTCCAGCTACTTGGAAGGCTGAGGCGGAAGGATAGCCGGAGCCCAGCAGGTCGAGGCTGCAGTGGCCAGGAGCGGCCACTGCACTCCAGTCCGGGCGACAGAGTGAGACTGCAACTCAAAAAAAAAAAAAATTAGCTGGGTGTGGTAGCACGCACCTGTAGTTCCAGCTACTTGGAAGGCTGAGGCAGAAGAAACGCCGGAGCCCAGCAGGTCGAGGCTGCGGTGGCTGGGAGCGGTCACTGCACTCCAGTCTGGGCGACAGAGTGAGATTCCAACTCAAAAAAAATAATAATAATAAAAAATAAAGGAAGGAGGCTGGGTGTGGTGGCTCAAGCCTGTAATTCCAACACTTTGGGAAGACAAGGCAAGAGGATTACCTGAGCCCAGAGGTTTGAGACCAGCCTAGGCAACTTGGTGAGACCTCGTCACTACAATAAATCAAAAAATTAGCAGGTGTGGTAGCATGCACTTGTATTTCCAGTTACTTGGAAGGTTGAGGTGGAAGGATCACCTGAGCCCAGCAGGCAGGATGAGGTTGCAGTGGCCACGAGCACGCCACTGTACTCCAGGCTGGGCAACAGAGTGAGACTCCAACTCAAAAAATAAAAATAAATAAAAATATAAATAAAGGAAGGAAGGAAATTTTCAGGCTTAAAATGGAACATTAAGCTCTTAAAGGAAATGAATAAAGGCAAAGGAGTTACCTGCTCCTCTCTTTTCTGTTTGCGTAACTGCAGTCCTTCTTCCTCTCTCCTCCTGCGCATCTCATCAGGATTCAGAGATTTGTTCTTGTAACTTTTCAGGCGAAAATTTTCTTTTCCTGGGGTGGTCATGATTCCTACAAGAAGAAAAGCGAGGGAAAGAAAAGATAAGCCTACTATAAAGAGCTGTTATTCTACCCACAAAGGAACACCAGAAATGGTTACTTTGTTTTTAACAGTTTTATTAAAATGTACAATTCAACAGTTTTTAGTGTATTCACAGCTTGTGCAACCACCACAACAATGAATTTAAGAACATTTTCACTTTGAAAAGAAATCTTGGTCAGGCATGGTGACTCGCACCTTTAATTCTAGAACTTTGGGAGGCAGAAGTAAGAGGATTTCCTGAGCCTAGTGGTTTGTGACCAGTCTGGGTAAGTGGGCAAGGCCTCATGTCTTATAATAAAATTAAAAAATTAGCTGGGCACGGTGGCGCATGCTTGTAGTTCCAGCTACTTGGAAGGCTGAGGTGGAAGGATCGCCTGAGCCTAGCAGTTTGAGGCTGCAGAAGCTTTGAGTGTGCTACTGCACTCCAGCCTGGGCGACAGAGTGGGACTCCAACTAAAAAACAAAAAGAAAAAAGAAAAAGAAAGGAAAAAAAAAAAAGAAATCTTGTTCAGCTATCATTCCTATTCTGGACATTTCATTTGAACAGAATCATATAATATGTAATCTTTTTGTGGCTGGGTTCTTAGAATGTTTTCAAGGCTCAATCATGTTATAGCATACTAGTATTTAATTCCTTTTTATGGCTGAGTAATATACCATTATATGTATATACTCAATTGTATTTATCCACTCATATGAAGGACATTTGGGCTGTTTCCACTTTTCAGCTACTACGAATGCTTCTACAAATATTTGTGGCCAAGTTTTGTACAGATATGTTTTCATACCTATTGGGTACATACCTAGGAGTGGAACTGCTGGGTCATATGGCAGCTACGTTTAATTGCTTAAGGACTGTCCAACTGTTTTCCCAAAGTGGCTGCACCATTTTCTATTCCCATCAGTAGGATATGAAGGTTGCAAATTCTCCATTTCCTTGAAACATTTTGCTATTACAACTTTTTGATTCAAACCATCCTACTGGGTGTGAAATGGTATCTCACTGTGGTTTTGATTTGTAATTCCCTGGTGACTAATAAGATAGAGCATCATTTTGCATATTTATTTGATAACTGGATTATCTCCCACTAAAACAAAGCTTATTCAGATCCTTTACCCATTTTTAAATTAGGTTATTTGTCCTTTTATTATTGTGCTCTTTATCATTCTAGGTAAAAGTACCTTATCAGAAATCCTTTGCAAATATGATCTATAGGGTTGTCTTTTCACTTTCTTGGCATCCCTTGAAACACAAAAATTTTTTTGTTTTGTTTGTTTTTTTGTGTGTATTTTTGAGTTGGAGTCTCTCTCCCCGTCACCCAGACTGGAGTGCAGTAGCACATTCACAGCCACCCCAGTGTCTACCTCCTGGGCTTCGGCTATCCTTCCGCCTCAGTCTTCCAAATAGCCGGAACTACAGGCACGTGCTACCACGGCTGGCTATTTTTTTTTTTTTATTTATTGTAGAGAGGAGGTCTCGCCAAGTTGCCCGGGCTGGTCTCAAACCCGCGGGCTCAAGCAATCCACTCACCTTAGCCTCGCAAAGCGCTAGGATTACAGGCTGAGCCACTGAGCCTGGCCAGCACAAAAGTTTTAATTTTGATAAAGCCCAAATTCATCTTCTTTTTCTTTTCTTATTCATGCTTTTGGCATCACATCTAAGAATCCTTAACCCTATGTTTCTTTCTGAGAGATTTACCTCTTACATTTAGGTCTGTGATTCATTTTGAGTTAATCTCCATTTATGGCATGAGGTAAGAACCCAACTTCATTCTTGTGCATGTGGCTATCCAGCTGCTCCAACACTATTTGTTGAAAAGACCGCTTTCTCCATTGAATAATCTTAGCACTTGCTATAGACTGAGTGTGTCTCTCTCCCAAAATTCATATGTTAAATCCCAACTTCCAATGTGATGGTATCTGAAGGAGAAGCCCTGGGGATGAACAGGATTAAAGCCCTTATAAAAGAGATCCCAAGAGCACTCACTTGCCCCTTCAGCCACATGAGGGCACAGTAAAAAAAGACAGCCATCTATGAACGAGGAAGCAGGCTCTCACCAGACACCAAATCTGTCAGAGCTTTGATCCTGGACTTCCCAGCCTCCAGAACTTAAGAAATGGATTCATGTTGTTTATAAGCCACCTCGTCTATGGCATTTTGTTATAGCAGCCCAAACGGACTATGACTGCACCCTTGTTGATGACCAGTTAATCATATATGAGGTATATATGAGACAATCCCCAAAAAACCTGGGATTATCTTTTGGGGGGGGGGAGCAGGTCCCTTATAGTATACTCGAAATTTGTTCCTCCAGATCAAATGGTCAACCAAAGCTTTTATCTAGAGTTTTGAGACAGCTGCCTCATGATGTGCAGAAGAAAAGCCCCCTGTTGTGACAAACAGGTGACTGGTCCTTCCACAATGACAACGCACCTGCCCACACCATACTGAGTGTCCAGCAGTTATTGAGCAAAAATGGCATGACCTGCCTCTGGTTCCTCACCCTCCCTGTTCCCCCAATCTACCCTCAAGTGACTTTTTTTTTGGTTGCCCCAGATGAAAAAAGTTCTCAAAGAGAAACATTTTGCCAATGTGGAGGAGATGAAACAAAAATAGCAGAAGCACTAAAACGCTTAAAATTGACAAGTTCAAAAAACTGTATTTGAGCAGTGGGAAAAGCATCTCGATGGGTGTATTGCATCAAACGGAGAGTACTTTGAAGGTGACTGAAGTTTAAACATATAAGAAACACAATTTTCTATAAATAATTTCCAAGTTTTGTCCCAACACAGTTTAATTTCTTTATTCTCAATTCCATTCCATTGTCCTATATGTGTATTACTGTGGCATTTCCACAGTCTTGATTACCAATGCTTTGTAATAAGCTTTGAAATCAGAAAAGTTTACTTGTATTTTTGTTCCTTTTTTTTTTTTTTTTTAGCTGTTTTAGCTATTTTGGATCACTTGCAATTCCATGTGAACTTCATAATTAGTTTGTCATTATTTGCAAAGAAGTCAGCTGCGATTCTGGCAGGAACACTGCATCTATAGATCAATTTGGGAAATACTGTCACCTTAACAATGTTAATTAAAACTCACAACTCTTTAAGCTGCATTTTTTCTATTTTATCTTAATTTCTATGATGTTTTGTGAATTTCAAAGTTTTACATTTATTTCGCTAAATTTATTCCTAAGTATTTTATTTTATACCATTGTAAAATGAAATTGTTTTCATAATTTTATTTTCAGAGTATTCACTGCAAGTCTAGAGAAATAGAATTGGTTTTTGCATACTGCTCTTATACCCTACAATCTTGCTGAACTTTATTAGTACTAAAACTTTTTAGCTGATATACATCATGTCATCAATAAATAGAGACTGTAGTTCCAGCTACTTGGAAGGCTGAGGCGGAAGGGTCACCTGAGCCCAGCAGATCGAGCCTGGGCAACAGAGTGAGACTCTAACTCAAAAAAAAAAAAAAAAAAAAAGACTGGAAAGGAAGAAGTAAAGCTATCTCTATTTGCAGACGACATCATATATATCAGCTAAAAAAATCTTAGTACTAATTTTTTTATTTATTGTAGAGATGAGGTCTCAGCAAGCTGCCCGGGTTGGTCTCAAACCTGTGGTCTCAGGCAATCCTCTCACCTCAGTCTCCCAAAGTGCTAGGATTATCAATCGGTGTGAGTCACCATGCCTGGCCCCTTTCCAGTCTTAATGCTTTTTCTTTTTCTTGACTAACCTCCCTGGCTACAGCTTCCAACACAATGTTGAATAGAAGTGGAGATGCTGTGCACAGTGCCTCACACTTGTAATCCTAGCACACTGAGAGGCTGAGGCAGGAGGGTTGCTTGAGGTCGGCCAGGAGTTGAGGCAGCAGTGATCATGTCATTCATTGCACTGCACCCTGAGCAACATAGTGAGACCCCGTGTCTCCACCAAAAAAAAAAAATCAGCTGGGTGCAGTGTCAGACGCCTGCAGTCCTAGCTACTCAGAAGGCTGAAGCAGGAAGTTCACTGGAACCCAGGAGTTCAAAGCAGCCGTGAGATATGATCATTCCACTGCCCTCCAGTCTGAACAACACAGCAAAGTGCTGTCTTAGGGAAAAAAAAAAAAAAGCTGAAAGAGTAGACAATCTTTCTTGTCTTCAGATCTTTGAGGAAAGCAACCAGACTTTTTACCATTAAGTATAATGTTATCTTTGGATGTTTTGTGGATGCCTTTTTGCCCTTTATCATGTTGAGAAGTTCATTCCTATTCCTAGTTGTATTTATCATTAAAGGGTGTTGGAGTCAAAGGCATCCTCTGTCTATTGATATAACAATAGTTTTTGTTTTTCTTTTCTTTTTTCTTTTTTAAGAGGTGAGGGCTCACTATATTGTCCAGGCTGGACTGCAGTAAGTATTCCCAGGTATGGTCATCATGCCTCAAGGCCTTGAAGTCCTAGGCTCAAGTGATCCTCCAGCCTCAGCCTCCTGAGCAGTTGAAACTACAGGCACACACCACCATGTCCGGTTTCCTTTTTCTTTTTAATTTTACTGGTACATTTCATTAACTGGTTTTGTTTTGTTTGCATTGGAGTCTCACTCTGTCACCCAGGCTGGAGTATAGTGGCATGCTCACGGCTACTGCAGCCTCGTCCTGCTGGGCTCAGGCGGTCCTTCTGCTTCAGCCTTCCAAGGAGCTGAACTACAGGCATGCGCCACTATGCTCAACTAATTTATTTATTGCAGAGATGAGGTCTTGCCAAGTTGCCCAGGCTGGTCTTGAACCCCTGGGTTCAGACAATCCTCTCGCCTCTGCCTTCCAAAATGCTGGGATTACAGGCGTGAGCCACTATGCCTGGCTAATTTTTTGTTGTCGTTTTAACCTTAAGATATCACTGCATTTCTGAGATAAATCTCACTTGGTCACTAATGTACATGTCTTTTTATACACTGTTGAATTCAGTTTGCTAGTATAGTA